GGGGGGCGGACACGGGGCACCCGGCGGCGAGCGGTGCGTGGCGGCTCCTGGCTCCGGCCCGGCGGCTCCGAGGAACCGTCCGGCTCGTCCCCGAGCAGCCCGGCACCTGCAGCCTGCGGGCAGGGCGCGGAGCTGGTCCAGAGGGGGCGGTGCGGGGCTCGGCAGCTGGGGGGTACCAGGGGCTGCCCGGAGCTGGGGGGGGGTTCCAGAGGCTGCCCGGAATTGGGGGGGGGGTTTCCAGGAGCTGCCAGGAGCTGGGGGGGGGGGCCCCGGGGCTGCCCGGGGCTGCTCCTGGTCTACTCTATGGCAAAGCAGCTGTTTCCATGGACTCCCGACCTGTGCGCCAACCTGCCCGGCCCAAATGGGGTGGAGCCACATGGGGGCAGGAGTGAGATGGAGTCAGCACAGCTCCCCCCATGGGCTGCTCTCTTTGGCCCCCACTCCCTCCCTGCCCAATTCCGGCTGTTGTCCTGCGCCCATCCCCGGGGCGTCCCGGCGCCTTCCACAGAGAATCCACAGCAAGACCAAATCCCAGCGGGCTCCCTGCCTCTCTGGGTCCCAGCTCAGCTCGGGGGCAGAGGGGGGTGGTCAGTGGAGGGGATGTGGGGCAGTGTCTGGGCTGGGGGCAGGAGGGGCAGTATTGGGGTAGAGGGGCCTGAGGCCAGGCCGGGACAGCGGGGGGAAGTGGGGGGCAGGGTTGAGAGGGGTTCAACAGGGATTAATGCACCTCACACAGCATCTGCAGTGACGCTCGCCCAGCGCTGTGAGAACGGGCGGGTTGATTAGCTGCTTGGCCCAGGGAGCCCAGAGCACGGAGCAGCGTCTGGTGCAGCCAGCCCAATCCCCCAGCCGAGCCCTGTGAGCGCCAGTCCCGGGCGCTGTCTCTGCTGGCCTTCGCTAGGCCCAGCCGAGAGCCCAGCCTCTCCCAGAGCCCCCCATCATTCCCTGCTGCCCCCGCCGGGCAGGGCCACGCTGAGGGTGCAGGCTCCTCGCTCCGGGCTCTGGGCTGCGGGGTGGCGGCGTTCTGCCCATTGGGGGTTCCAAGGTCTTCTCGCATTTTTCCCTCGTGGGTCGGCCACTGTCTGTGCAAACCAACAGCTCGCGGCTGCCCTGGGAGCAAATGGAACCCTTTCCCCCATGGGAGCCATGCACAGCATGGAGGGAAACTGAGGTACATAGGGATATTAAATATTACAGACAAATCCCACTTTGTCGCAGATGGGCTGTCCCTGCCCTGGCTTGCAGAGTGAGTGTTTCCCCCTTGCTGGTCCCAGGCCTGGCCATGGAGCTGGGGGGTCTCCTCCAGGAGGAGGCGCAGCATCCAGGCTCCCTCCCCGTGATGCTGACCCCTTAGCGAGGAGAAAGGAGCACCCCAAAGACACCCTGCAAGGTCCGTCCCCTCCCCAAGCTGGGGCTAGGGCCAATGCAGGGCAGTGTCTGCAAGGGGCAGCAGAGGACGGAGGGGAGCTGGGGCGGGCACTGAGCCCCTGTAGGGTGGAGGTCGGCGTTCCGGCTGGTAGGGGAGGAGTGGTCTCTGCGCACGCTGGGCTGGAGGAAAGGCCCCTGAGCCTCTTCCTGAGTGCCGCGCCGAGGCCGGCCCGTGGGCCATGGTGGGGCACACGGACGCTTTGTTGACACAAGGGAAGCACATTGGTCACGGAGCCCCAGGACCGGTGCGATGGCCCCAGCTTTGGAACAGTCTCTGGGAGCCCGTCAGTGGGCCAGGCCCCCGGGGGTCCCACTCTTCCTTCCCCCAGGGTGGGCCCCTCGGCTTCCGTCTCCTTCGCTGGATGCTGGGCCTGTGGGCCCTTGCTGCACCCGTGAGCACCAGGCAGCGCGTTCAGCTGGGCAGACCCCGAGGGAGATGAGTAGAGGCTTAGGGAGCCAGGCAGCTCCTCCGCCAGCGGCTGCAGGGACACTCAGCCAGCCTGGCCGACAGGCGGGTTTATTAGTTGACTGGACACAGCACAGGAAGTCCTTGGTTAGCCCAGAGAAAAGGAAGTGACCGCCTAGTCCATCCTGCTCAGCACAGAGCCCAACCCCCGTCCCTCTGACCTCTCTTTGTCCCAGTTCAGGTGCCCCGATGGCTTCCCATCAGGGCCGGCTCTGGCTTTTTTGCCGCCCCAGGCAAAAAAGCCTGGGGAAAGGTGCGTAGCACCATTACCTGGCCCATCAGGAATCCCCCTGGAGGATGTTGCTAGCACCCGTTCAAACCCAGCCGGCCAACACGTCTGTCCTCAGCAGAGGACTGTGGGGTTCCCTCTGTTTACGTGGCAGCAGGACCCGGGCCAGCAGGGGAGGAGATGGCAGGACACAGACCAAGCTGTGGTTTAGCAAACACAAGTGGGGGAAGAAGGAGCAGGGAGTGTCCATGGGCTACACGTTGCTTTGCGGAGTAACCGTCAGGAGATGCCACCTCAAAGGCTCCCTGGCCTCTAAAAGCGAGGGGCAGAGAACGCCAAGTTCCCGCTTTCACTAAGAAGCCAAAGGCCTGGCACCTTTGGGCTGCAGGGCGCAGTCCTGCCCCAGGAGCGGGTCAGTCCCCCCACAGCTGGGGAGGTGGGACAGCTGGGGGGACTGACCTGGCCCTTGTGAGGTTTCAGTGTTATCGGCTGGTCACCACCGCTGCCGTAGTTTCACTGTTAATCTAACCCCGCAGTGCTGTGCTGGAACGGCGCTGGCACTGCCTGTGGACGCCCATTAACACAGCACACTGGGGAACAGGGTCTCTGTCCAGGAGCAGGGACCCTTGAGCACTGAACTGGCCAGGGGCGGCTGTGGTGGGTGCGCGGAGGAGGTGCAGGGGGTGGGGGATGGGACAGGGTGCGCGCGGAGGGGGTGCAGGGGGTGGGAGGTGGGACAGGGTGTGCGCAGAGGGGGTGCAGGGGGTGGGGGATGGGACAGGGTGTGCGTGGAGGGGGTACAGGGGGTGGGAGGTGGGACGGGGGGGGCGGGGGGGGGGGGCGGGGGGGGGGGATGGGAATGTGTGTGTCACCCGGTCTTTGCTCCCCAGCCCGGGGCTGCAGTCCTGAGCTCTGCTCAGTGTCAGGATCCCCCTTCCCTTCCCCCGAGTCCTGCGGCAGCCCCCCCACCCCGTGCCTGCCCCTGGGTAACCTGCCACGTCCCTGTCCCCCCAGGCCCATGACCTGCAGGAGCTGCGGCGAAGCGCCTCGCTGGCCACCAAGGTCTTTGTGCAGCGGGACTACAGCGACGGGACCCTCTGCCAGTTCCAGACCAAGTTTCCCCTGGAGCTGGACAGCCGGGTAGGGAACGCGTTGCCCTTCTGCACTGGCAGGTGGTGGAGCTGGGAGGGGCAGAGCAGGGCCAGGCAGAGCCTCGGGCGAAGGCCCCTGTGACGGGAGTCCCGGGGGCGCCAGGCTGAGGCTGCTCAATTAGGGCAAAGTGCACAGGACGGGGCAGACAATCCCCAAACTGGTGGTTATTCTACTTGGATTCACCAAGCCAGCAACCAACCAGCTTCTGTAACACCTCACTGGTTACTCGGAGCCACCCCCCAGCTCCCTTAGCAACCCAGCCTTGGGCTCCCACCCCGACACCCAAACCAAATGCAACGAGCGTTACTGAAAATCTTCATCACATAGAAAGTTCTCCCAATCGCAGAGGATCGGACGCCTCACACACCAGGTTAATGACAGCTTAGATCCTGCCAAATACAGGCTGCCAGCCAATGCTTATTAACGAGACTAAACTGTATTAAAGAAGAACAGAGCGAGAGTGCTGGTTAAAGACACGAGTTCTAGTCCAATCTCGGGGCGATCCAGACTGGAACTGGGGACCTCAGGCCTCCCCTGAAGATAACAAGGCCATGGCCGAGAGGTCCCTGGCAGGCTGACACCTCCTGGCAGCAGGGGCCCCTTGGCTCCGGAGTAGAATCCCCTCTTTCCTGCGTACCCCCAGGTCATTAGTTGCATTGATTAGCAGAAGGCGATGGACCATTCCAGCAGTTCAGAGACAGTTTACTACAAACTTCCAAGCGAAATAGCGACAGTGACATTCTTACATTCAGGTTTGATCTAAATGTTAATATCCCCCTTTGATCTCGGAATCAATAGCTGGAGTGAGAGCCAGGACCCAGCTGTTTCCATGGGGAACAGCCAGCAAGGGAGACGTAAACACAGACAATGAGTAGCCCGGCTAATTCGCTAACGATGCAGGTTTGGTTTCCGAGCTCTAGGCTAGGTCTACACTACACTACCTTTGTTAGCTGGTTACAGGGACTGGCCCCTTATTACCATTGACCTCCTTCTCTAACATGCCTTTAAAGGTGGAATTTGGGTCATTTAGCCTACTAGTTGCTTAACCCTTTCTGGCCCTGTGTCACAGCTCCCCCCCATGCCCCCCCAGTTATTCCTGGTGTCGGCCTGGGGCCCTGAGGCTCTGTGGACTTGGGATCCCTGGGCACGGCCAGCCAGCGGCTCTGGGAAGGGCCTCCCCCCCCCCCCCCCCCCCCCCACCACAGATGCCAGCACAGCCCTCGGATGGCGCCCGTCACGGACCCCCAGCGTCAGTGCTCAGCAACAGCCCCCGGGAGGCCCCCTTCAGGGAACCAGACCCCCCCAGGGGCTCGCTCTGTCGCTGGGGAAGCCCCTCGGCTTCACCGCCACCTTGGACCGAACCTTCAGCACCCCTGGCTCACGCCGTGAGCTCCCTTCCGCGAGTCCACCGGAGAGAGACATGCACCCCCAGGGGCGCAATGCCCCCCACCTCCAGCACCTGCCGGGGCGCAGCCGGCGCGGTTACAACAGGGGGTTAGGAGGGGCTGGACCCCAGCTAGGCAGGCCTTGGGTAGCACCCCGAGCAGGAGGCTACAGCCTGGTCAGCCCAGAGCCCCAGCCAAGCAGTGTCCGCCCTTGGCTCCCGCTCTGTGTTCAAATTCCCGGCCAGCCCCAGCTGGCCTCTCCTCAGCCCTTTGTCCAGCTGATCACACCTGGCCGGCTTCCTGGGGGGTGAGGGGTCCCAGGGGTTGGGTTGGCCATTGTCTTCATGGGCCCCCCAGTGACCTGGGTCCCAAACCTGAGCCAGCCAGGAGCCATTCCCACCTTTCCCCACCACCTAGCTATCCATGCAGCACATAGGGGAAACTGAGGCACACACCGCATTCATACAAAATAGTACAGAAAATTCCCACTCTGGCACATTCCCCACCGAGAGCTGCACCCACAACCATGGGGTCTGGGCTGGTGGCAGCTGGGCCTGGCTGGGGGGCAGCTGCCCAGCCTCACGCTGGGCCAAGTCCTGCATGTGCCCATACGTCTGTGTGCATAGGCCCTGGCTCTGTGTGCGTGAGCAAACTCGTGGGGGTGGGGAGGTGCCCACCCAGGTGTCTGTCTGTGTGCATGTGTATGGGGGGCGCTGTCCTCCCGGGGGGCTCTCTATGGGGCACTGTGATGGCTGTTCCGTGGGTCCCTCATTCCTATCAGCGGAGCTGGTCTGTCTGTGCTTGGGGGTCCTTCAGGGTCAGCTCATTGGGATGCTCACGATGCCCCGGCCCCTGCTGCCGGGCATGGGCTGAGTGCGGCCCGGGCAGGGCTCCCAGTGCCAGCCGGACCCTGTGTGACCCTCAATGCCCTCACTCGGGTTTCTCTGCCCCAGCTCGAGCGGCAGCTCTTTGAGGAGACAGTGAAGACCCTCAATGGCTTCTACGCTGAGGCCGAGAAGATCGGGGGCAGCTCCTACCTGGAGGGGTGCCTGGCGTGTGCCACGGCCTACTTCATCTTCCTCTGCATGGAGACCCACTATGAGAAGGTAGGGCCGGGCCGGGCCAGGCCAGGCTGGACCAGCAGCTGGGTGCCGAGTGCTCAGCCAGGGCCCCCACGGCCACGGAGTCGGCCCGGCCGAAATGCAGGGACAAGGCCGCAGCGCCCCTCCCCCAGGTCTTGCCTCCTGCTCTACGGGGGCAACGGCCGTATTCTCTGCGGTGACCCCCTCGCTCCTTCCTGGCAGGGTCCCCAGGCGGCTCGGAAGGGAAATTCTCCCCGGGTATCCCCCGTGCCAGCCAGCCGGAGCCTGCCCAGGCAGTGACGTGGGAACACTTTTAACAGTGGGGTGCTGAAAGCCAGTCCCCTTCCCCTGTCCGTGCCCCCCTCAGAGCTGGGGCCAGGAGCAGGCTGTGTCTCCGGGGGGGGGGCAGACAGGGGTAAGGGGGCCACTGGGGTTGGGCGCCGGGACCCCAGGCATGGGGCTGGGAGCCGGGACCCTGGGCGCGGGGCTGGGACCCCAGGCTGGGGGCTGGGAACAAGGAGCCCACATGCAGGGCCAGGAGTGGGGCCCTGTGTAAAACCTGGGGCTGCTGCACAATGTTCCCTCTAATTTTTCCATCCATATGCGCAATGAATTTTGTTCTGTGCAGCACCAATGTGGAGGTGATGCCGAGGTCTGGGGGCCCTTGGGACTTCCTCGGGTTATGTGGGAAAGCTGCCAGCTGAGCTCAGATTAGTACCGTTAGTAGCGAGTGCAGCAGTAAGAAAGATCTACTAGAGTTGCATAAAATAATGAATGGGACCGAGAAGGTGAACCGGGAGCTCCTCTTACCCCTCTCAGTCCAAGAACAAGGTGACATTCAATCAAAATGGAAAGCAACACGTCTAAAACTGAGAGGAGACATTTTTTAACATCATGAATCACTGACTTGTGGAACTCACTGCGACACCTGTGCACAGGCGTGTCTAAGCATTCATAAGCACTCTGGAGATATTTAAGAGTAGGTTAGATAAATGTCTATCCGGGATGGTCTAGTCAGTATTGGGTCCTGCCATGCGGGCAGGGGACTGGACTCAATGACCTCTCGAGGTCCCGTCCAGCCCTAGAATCTATGAATCTATGACAAGATGACGTGTTTCTATGAATAATACCCCATCTCCTGAGCAAGCAATGCTCCGTGGAGAGCCCCTGCTGCTACCTACGGCAGGTGGGAGACAAATATTAAAAATTACTTCCCTTTCTGCAGCTCCCTGTGCCTGACCAATCCTGCTCCTCCCTAGCCCCCGCTGCCCACTGCAGCTCCCTTCCCGTTGCCCCCATCTCCAGCCCAGCCCAACCCGTGGTGAGTGGCTGATTGCAACTCAGCTCACTGCCGGGTCCGGGACGACACTAAGCACAGGAAACAGTGCAGAGCCGTGCCCGGAGCCGAACGCGCTAGCTCAGGGCCTCTCTCCTCAAGGAGAAAAGACAAGGACAGCAGCCCCTTCTCTCAAATACTCTCTTCCCCCAGCATCAGAACGACAGCCCAGCCCCGAGAGTGGGAGTAGGTGCCTTTTATAAGCCTGAGGGACAGTGTGGGTGAACGGATCTGTGGGTGTGCGGGTAAGTGAGTGTGAGTGGATCTGTGGGTGTGCGGGGAAGTGAGTGTGAG